GTCGACACTTTTGGCGTATAAGTCCACGAATTAAGCAGTTTATCTGGTGGGCACCAAGTTTCAATATCCTATCATCAACATATCCTCCTCCAATGCGAAACCAGTGCTGCAGTTGCTCAGTTCACTTGAAGGCTTATCAAATATAGGGCCATTGAATTGCCGGCGCTCTTGGGGATTCCCTAGGACGGCAGTTAACATTCGCCACCTCTCACTGCTAGACATATGAATTGACGCAGTCGAGGATTTTCACTTGTGTCTTACCCTTCATTTTATTTGCTTATATGCTAATGATTTGAGCGTTCAGACGAGTAACATAGCTTTCTGTAATTTTGCGTATATGCAAATGTGTCGTTGACGGGCATCGCACACTGCAATTTCCACGCTCATTCTCAGATTCAACGATTCAGCTGCACGGTTTGTCAGGAATTATCCTCAACCTTCGTCTCTTGCAGAAAATGTTGCGGAGTATCTGGCTGTTGGTGAGGTAAATCGCTAGTTTTTTTGCGCTTTTTTGCATCTGTGCAGTATGTATATATAGTTATGTATAGTACATATATAGTATATACATAGCATGTATAGAACGTGGACGTTCATATTACGTATAGAGCTTCCATCTTCGCGCCATAAGTCGCCTGTTGCTATAATAGTACTGACCGCATTTGCTCGATATGATCGTCACTAATTCCGTCCCTCCGGGAACTCCAGCTGACATACTCCTTGCTCCGTTAACGTCACGTCTGTTTCGATATCCACCGCTACGCGCTTTATACCCAGTGGTGACTGTTGGGCTACAGCAACATTTTTTTGCCAGCAAGACAGAAGTAACACAAAATCCCAGTGGTCAAAGATCGGCGATGCCAATCCAAACTGTAACCTGACGCCGCATGCCCATTATCTTCTAACTGCTCAATACTTTATATGTTGTCAGCCTGCAGATGTCACTCGCAACGAAACATTAGCAACACAACTTACATATACATCAAAGTCCACATTGGCATTGTGCCAATACGGGAGTTGGACTGATTAAACCCAGGCTAGAACGCATCAGGCGAGCCGGTGCGGTCATGCGTTTTTGCATCAGACTTTGAAGTGCCGTCGCTCATACAGGGGGAATAGAGAAGAAGGAAGGGGGTCCCACATTATGCCACCATTCGGCTGAGGACGGGCTTTGATAATTTGTGTGAATCGACGAATTAACGGCCCATCGCTACCCCGCATACTAACTAAGACAACTTCAACTTCCAAGCTTCAACTTTTATCGAAATGAGATGTATCGACGTTGGAAGCGGTAATACATCCGCCCTCCCCTCCTCGCCCCTGCCCTGGACATGCATCTTTTCGAAGTGGTGATATTGAGCTGCATTATACAGTACATTTACAATGCGGTACTCTGTGAGCAGGATACGATGCTGTGGTGCACAACCCCGCGGGAAGCGATCTGGCCTTGTTCACTTTTGTGTCTGTTTGGTTCGTGGGTGGCTGTGGTTCTCCTCGGTGTTGGGGCGAGGGGGTGGGAGTTGGTGCTTTTTCGGTCTTTTTTTGTGCTTGGCATATACAGATGTTGAGGGGAGGGGGGGGGACGCTTTCTGTGATTGTTCTGGGAGAGGGATTCCGTAGTGTTTTGCGGAGGATAGGAACAGCGGTATCTCTTTAGAACAGCCATGGCACCCGCCTCCCAAGAACAGCTGCATAACCCACATCTCGGAATAGCCAAGGGGCCCACTTTTCGGAACAATAGTTAGGTTGGAAAGGCGATTTCGCGGCTTTTCTGGGGTGGACACTCGTTGGCGGATCCGGGGGAAGGGATGAGGGTCTTTCGCCTTTAGGAGTTCAGGCAGTCCGGCCTTTTTTTCGGTAATTGCTCGCTTTATGAAAAAATGGCAGATGCAAATTTTCAGTTCACAAAAAAGTGGAAGTATTGCTCGAGCGGTCGTTTGTCAAAGAATCCATGTATGCAAATTAACTAATGTTCATTTACATATATGACTGTGGTTCGGATCCGGGTTGGTAACGATTTTTGGGTTGAGGAGCTGCTTAAGGCTGTGATTGGAGATGCACAGCAATTCCTACAGCGTATTTTAGTCCATATAGAACGACTGGTGGTCCAGGCAACTTATTAGTTTATATCATCAACGAAGTTTTGATATTTCTGGAACAGGACACTCTATCAATTTACTGCTTTCGATACCGTGAAAACCTCTTCAAATTCTTCTATCTTGACGATACAGGACTCACTGTTTTAAATAAACGGATAGTTACCACATAATCATGGATAGTACTACTTAATGCGTTTAAAACACGAGTTAGGATCGTAACCACACTTACATCCTGCACTAATGTATTTCAATATCCTTTTTTTATTAAAAAATATCTGATTTGTATCTCATTTGGTTCTACAAGCCAGTACTTTCTCTTAGTTCGTTCGCTACTGCCCCTACAATTCTGTTCCCTTCTGTTCTCCTTTTCTCTTCTCATCTCTTCTCAACTCTCATTGTTACGCTTCTTTTAACTCCTTTTCATACATGGCGAGTTGTAGGCAGCACTGATGTTGCCCACTCCAACTGGCTTCGTAATCTGTAATCTGTGCTTACGGATAAGGGATGAAACACAGACTACAAACTTACATGTACCTTATAATATGTAATTTCCAACAATCTTCTTAGGCATAAATTTTATGGTGCTGATTGTTTTCCACTTGTCGGTTCGTGAAAGTAAATTAAGCTTTCGTGCCCCTCCACATATCACGTAGGGGCACGTGAAACTTTACGCAGACGGTTTTGTGATTTACAACGAAACGTCTTGCGTGCGTTGCAATTACTGTATCTCAAAGAAGGCTGAATAAGAGGGAGAGGAATAAGTCCGGGAAAGCAACGACAGTATGTTTGACTCAGCTTCGGCTTCAACTCGGCACAGCTCGACGCAGCCTCGACAGAGTTTCGGCTCATCGGCAGCGACCGGAGGCAGTCCACTGAACACGCTTCGATCAATTCAATTTGTAATTCGTGGTGAGCTTTTGTAAGAAACTTTTCTTTAATTCATTCACCAGGCACAATCCTCTCTCCTTCGCTCGAAAGCCAACCATGAATCGACATCTCGGAAGTCGCCACTAAACTCGTGCTATTCGTTTGTTCAGTGTTTGACAACTCTTGTAAATTGTATAAATTGACAGTGGTAGGCCTTCCCTCTAAAAACAATATCATTCGGCATGTGTTAGATAAGTTTCTTTTCCTCTGCTGGAACAAGGCGACAGTCAGGTACTTGTCATTGTGCAAGGAGTAAGACACTGAGACCAACATGGAGAAGTAGATTCGCAACGAATTTCACAATGAAAAGCGCATTTTTTGAATGCTTTGGAAGGCTTGGCCTTTTGACAAAGGCAGAGGCAACATGGTCGTCCAGGATTTCATTTGCGTACAGTAAGGATTATTACATTTGCGGTAAGCTAATGCCTATGTCTATTAAGCTTGGGTCAAGAATGTCTCATCTAGCAAACGAGGACTACCCGTCTTTATTCAGTGCTTTATCCACAATTTTTGGGAATGCGCGAGCTGCATGTAGTAGTAGTAGCAGTTATAGCAAACACTGAAGCCGCAGTACGTATTGAATTCTACCTTACTAGAAGTCCAGTTAAGTTCGCTATACAGAGATGATTTAAAATGGACAACAGAATGGTCGTTCCTTTCCATATAGAGAGTGGCACCTGTAGTGAAATTACGATAGGTGCGAAAGCAGAGGCTTTCGTCTTATGGAAAGGTCAAGAAACGGTCAATTGGGGTTTGCGAAATTTGCCCGTAGTACTTGGAGGCTATCCTGTACAGTTAACTACTGATTATCTGGCGCGAAGCCGTCCAGACACACTATTCTCAGCTTTGGCCCAACTTGTCGGAATGCAGCAGACAGTAACTGGACCATGGAAAAGTCAGCTACTTGACAACATAATGCATCCAATATTGAGCAACAAAATGGATTGTAGATTGATTTCGGATTTAGTATCAATCAGTCTAATGTGTCCAATATCCAGAAAATGGACTATATCATCAATGGTCAAAAATATGAGGCCCTCAAAAACGTTCATTTCAAATGTAATTATCAACAGTGCTATTAAGTTTGGCGGATTTTGACCAAGAACAACTTGTTGTAACATTAACGAAAATGACAATACTTGTTCCAATGCTAGCAGGCAATGTTCTGGATGCAAGAGCAATTGGGGAAGCACACAACTTTCTGGACAGACTTGATTCAACACGATCAGTACAGAAGCAAATTCGTAGTCTCGCTAAAGCACATATATGGTCACTCCTTGCCGATGCAGAACATCAGACTGCCCTCAGCGTGTTGTTTCAAGCTACAAGCAGATCCACCCAGTATCGAGGTGTATTCGATGTTTGTCTACCTATGCACAGTTACTTCGGACTGTTGGGTGATCAGACTGAGTGTGTAGCCATCCCACATCCACTGCATTTCA